CCATTGATTGTGGTTCCATTGAAAGCTGTGGGTTCAGGGTGGAAGCAGGCATCATGGTCAACATTCTCATTTTATTCATCATACTTATTGATTGTTTAGCTTTTGTTTTTTGATTTTTTTACAGTGGGTTTTTTTTTTTTTTTTTTTTTTTTTCATGAAATGAACTGAAACTGGGAAGCTGGGGCTTTCATCTAACAGTGTTAACTTTTGGAAGTGTAACATGTTATCCCTGAATGTGTCCTAATGGTGCCTTTTTATTGTGTGAATTTTAACACTTTGCTTGGTTTTCCATCCCACCTTTATCTCGGATGCTTCCAACTACATTTGGATCAAGGCAGCCAGTAAGGGCTTCCTTATCCTAAACCCACTAGCTGTTTTGGAAGTATAGGGGGAGAGCTGGGCTTTAGGGAGCTGGCAGCTGGATCCTATTGTGCACCCTTGTTTCTCAGACACAAAAGAGGAACCGCAGTAGCCACCCAGAGTGGAGTCTGGTGCTACGGGGCACTTCTGGGAGGTCACAGAAAGGGGTGTGAGACAAAGCGTCCCTTTTTGTGGTGTGTCTTTTTGTTAGTTTTGTGACAGACTTGATCCTGAGAAGATGAGCCCAGGCTCTCATGCTGGAGGTGCAGTTCAGGAACCACCGCTCACTGGTTACCTTGGGTGGGCTACCTCACCCCTCTGTGCCCCAGTGGCCTCCTCTGTAAAATGGTGATGGTCATCCTGTCACTCTTAGGGGTCTGCTGTGAGGATTGAATGAGCTGATACGACTGAAGCACTTGGCTTAGTGCCCAGAACACATTAAGCGCTCCAGGAAGGTGAACATCTGCTGCTGTTGTTTATGTCATTCCTTCTGTTGTTACTCACAGAAGTTAGCATTTATTAAACCCTTACAGTTTTCTCTCCCCAGCTCTGTGATAACTGCTTGGCATGCATGATCTCACTGAATCCACCCTAACTTCTGGTGTTAATTTTCCCATTTTACAGACAGAAGCTCTGAGGCTCAGAGAAACTCAGTTAGCCTCCCAAGTTCATAAGCTGGAAAGTGATGGTGCCAAGATTTGAACTTGGGTCTGTCTCCAAAGCTTCTGCTCTTCACAATAATGCTTTATTGCTTTGTAGGCCTTAACATGCACATTATTTTGCTCTCAATATCCCCCACGATACTGAGAAAGCTTCATCAGGCACCAGAGGACTTGGGAACAGATTAGAACACTTAGGAGAGGTCTAGCTGGGATTTGCTGCTGTAAAGATACGACAAAAACTTGAGGATAAATGGTTGAGTGAAGAGTCAGTGTGGGAAACTGTCCACAACTTTCTCAGAAGCCAACCCATCAAGGAGATCAAAATTAAACAAAGATAAATTGGATTTGACTTCCACAGTTAATTTGCTTAATATGTGTATGTTTGTATACAACATAGAGCACTCATTCTTGTCACACACATGGAATTTACAAAAATTGACCAACACTTCCCTTTTCTGTGGTGGTGTACTTAGAGGCACTGCCGCAGGACTACAAGACTTCAGGGAGAGTGACTCAGGAAGAGCTTTCTAGGGTGCCTGTTGTGGTCTGTATGAGCTTCTAGATATGTGATATGGTTTGGCAGTGTCCCCACCCAAATTTCATCTTCAATCGTAGTTTCTATAATCGCCATGTGTGGTAGTAGGGACCTGGTAGGAGGTAACTGAATCGTGGGTGTGGTTTCCCCATGCTGTTCTTGTGATAGTGAGTGAGTCTCATGAGATCTGGTGATTTTTTAAGCACCTGGCATTTTCCCCTTACTGGCACTCATTCTACCTCTCCTACAGGCCTGTGAAGAGGTGCTTTCCATCGTGATTGCAAGTTTCCTGAGGCCTCCCCAGCCAGGCAGAACTGTGAGTCAATTAAACCTCTTTTCTTTATAAATTACCCCATCTCAGATATGTCTTTATTAGCTGTGTGAGAATGGACTAATACAATATTTTGACACACACATCCTATTTTGTGGTAAAGGATAACGAAAATATCTTTTTCATCTTATCTATGAGGCCACTAAGGGTTAGGCACTAATCTGCAAATGGTCTATCATTTGTAAATGGTGGCACTGAGAAGGAGACCTCAGGTGCTTCCTGGTTTGGAGGCACAGAAGCATCCTTCTTCCAATGTGCTGTGCCTGCTCAGGGGGTCAGAGGCTAAATGACCCCCTGAGCAGGCACAACACATTGGACACATTTTAGGAGAATACATTTGTTGAAGTAGGTTTCACCAATACCACTCTTGTTTTCTGAAATAAAGCTTCAGACCAAGAATGTAAGTCTCATAAATGCAAAGCAGACAAAGGAAAGTGTTGGTGAGAGTGTGTAGGAATTAGGCCCTCTTTCCTTGCTGATGGTAATATAAAATGGTGTAGCCATTTTGGAAACAGTTTGGCAGTTCCTCAAAATGTCCTAAGCGTCTACCTGAGAGAATTGAAAACATATGCATGAATGTTCACAGCAGCATTACTCATAATAGCCAAAAAGTGGAGACAACCCAAATGTTCATTAACTGATAAATAAATAAACAAAAGATGGTATACCCATACAGTAGGTAAAAAGGAATGAAGTCTTTATTTTTGCCACAAAACAGATGCCCCGTGAAAACAGTATGCTAAATGAAAAAAGCCAGTCAACAAAGAAAGGTCAACATACTGTGTCATTCTATGTATATGAAAAGTTTAGAATAGACAAGTCTATGGAAACTGAAAGTAGATTCATGGTAGCCTAGAGTTTAGAGGTGGGTGGGATGGGAGTGACTGCTAGTATGTACTCTGTATGGGGTTTCTCTGCAGGGGTAATGAAAATGTTCTCAAATTAGATTATGCTGATGTTTGGACAGCTATGAATACACTCAAAACTACTGAATTGTTCACTTCTGTGAAACTTTTATTGTATGTGAATTATATCTTAATAAAGCTGTTTTAAGAAAGAGAATGCAAGCCTGACTTGCCAAGATGCCCTACTTTTGAAAACTAAATGAAGAAACATCTGAAAATTGCTATTTTCTATATGAAAGTATGCAGAACTTGGGGAGCTGACTTCCAGTAGGCGAGTCAGTAAAGACTAGATAATGCAGCAATTGAGGCTTAAAGGTTGAGAGCCTGTATATGTGCCTTAAAGAATGAAATAGATTTGGGAATAATAGAAAGCATATTCTAGATGAAAGCAACGGGGTGAGCCAACCTCTAGAAGGGAAAAGACATGAACAGAAAACATGGAAAAACATTGTTCTCTTCCAACATTGTTTAAATTGAACAACGAAGACATACTACATTTTAAAGCCATGTTAACAAATACTCAGGGTATAAATATCTTTTGGATAATTTTATATTAAGAAAATACAAAAAACTTAACAGAAGCTCATGTTATAAGAAATGTTGATAGGTGACCTTTATTCTGTTTAGCAATGTGTATCAATAATAGCTTCCAAGAAGAAATTACTAAGTTGGAGCTGCTTGTAATATTTTTATTATTTTAGTTTATTATTTTTGAGACAGGGTCTTGCTCTGTTGCCCAGGCTGGAATGCAGTGGTGCAGTCATGGCTCACTGCAGCATTAACTTCCCAGGCCCAAGCAGTCCCACCACCTTAGCCTCCTGAATAGCTGGGAGTGCAGCTGTGTGCCATCACGCCCAGCCTACTTGAAAAATATTAACCGTGAAAACCGATTTAATGCTAGCACATCCACGTTCAGGAACCACGTGATCAAAGAGAAAATATCTTTCTTTGGTTGGGTGGCTCATGCAGGGTTGTCAGAAGCAGGCTGCGCTCAGTTTGATAAAATGACACGTGGCATTTCTTATAGCAACATTTGCCCTCTTAGAAAGGAACCTTCACAAGGCAGGTAGCCAGAGTGACGACTGTCTCGAAGCCCTCAGTGCAGATGATTCATTCCAAGTCCAGGGAAAACCAGAAGTCCTTTTATGTATGAACAGATGTGTTAAACAGCTTTATAGATCTCCCCTCTACAGACATCTCAGCAAGCTTCATAGCCTATTTATCTACTTTTGGTTCTCTGCTCAGAAATTTTATGATTCTCCATATTGATCAAGTAAAGGCAGCAGTGAGGAACAGAATATCTCAGTCAAATTAAATTTCTACCTTTTTCCAGGACTGGAATAAAGTTCATTTAGTGAAGATGGGTCCTGCTTTTTCAGAAACTGAATAAAGACGAGATACAGATACAGCCACTAGTTAAGAAGAAATAAGTAAGAAATAATAAATAGTGAAAAACCTCTAACATGCAGTCTGTGAGGTCTTGTGCAAGCAAAGAAGCCCGTGGATGCCACATAGCCCCAGCAAAGGTAGCCCCAAAGGAGTGAGGCCACTCAGTAGACCTAGGCTAAGAGCAATACCTATCTCCTCTCTGCATCAGTCTTTGTGAGCTGGAGATTTTGGTTCCTCTTACCAGCAATAAGAGGAATGATACCAGCTGGTATGAAGGCAGGTGGCAAAAGGTGTGTCAGGAAGATAGTTTTGAAATGAGAGAGTTCCCTGACACCCCTTGCAGGATGTGCGACAGGCGTGTGGCTCATTTCTTTGACCACTGCACCTGCTTAAACCCCTTATGGGAGGGGGGGCATGCAGATTGGCAGGTATAGGAGCTGAGGTGAGTGCTTTGGGGCTCTGGTCCCATGGTAGCGTCTAGGAGTGGGCACCTGTGATTCCCAGGTGTTACAGAGAGCTCTTTTAGCCTTGCCATCCACAGACAGCTTAAGTGTTAACCAGCTCAGTGCTCTCTTGGTGCCCAGGTCCTTGTTCAGCATCCAGGAAGAATCAGGTTGCACATGAACTTGAAGAATGAATGCAGGGTTTTATTGAGTGTTGAAGGTAGTGCTTAGCGGGATGGAAGGGGAGCGGAAAGGGGGATGGAGTGGGGAGATGATCTTTCCCTGGAGTTTGGCTGTCCAATAGCACATCTCTCTGACCAACTCCTCAGCATTCAGATGCTTATTCTCTTCTGCCTGCCACACCATTCTACCATTCTTCTGCTCTTCTGTTTGTCGTCTTGTCTGCTTCTGGAGCCTGGGGTCTGGGGTTTATATGGGTACAGGGTAAGGGAGCGTGGCAGGCCAAAAGGCAACTTTTGGGTGTGTAAACATGAATGCCTCTTCCCATTAGGGCCACGGGTTTCCAGGCTTGAGGGTGAGGCCTTTGCCAGGGACCCTCCGTCTTCTACCCAGTATTTCTCCCTGTCTCTTGTCTGTATCATTGGGTCAATAATTTGGGAAGAGGGAGTAAGATGCAGCATCTAGATGACTGACGAGGCAGCCTCAGCTCTGCTTACGGCACTCATAAATGAGGGATCATTCCTCTTGTTCCCTCTCCTCTCAACAAAGAAAGAGCATGAGAGAGAGGTATAGGCTCAGGATCCTAAAAGTTACAATCTGGTCTGACACTCCGCGGCTAGTGTTGCGTCTATGACTAATGGCACCACCACTGCTCATAGGGATACATTCCATCGTTGGGGCCCTTTACACATCATTTCTGAACATCCTCACAGGCACTAGGTGACTTTGCCTGTCATAAACCCAATTCACAGCTAAGGAACATAAGGCCCGTGGTCCCCCACCGTGATAGGGCTGGAATTCAAACCCAGCCACCAAAGCCCTGGTCCATCTGGGGCACCAGGATTCAAAAACAAAAACACTTGACTGAGTTCATTTACAGGGGAGAAGTGAAGAGGACACTTAGCTGGGTAAGGCTTGAAGTGGGGGCCATTGTCTAAGAAGTCAGTGATCAAGCAGTTTTGTTTTATTAATTCCATGCTGGATTTCCATAGTTGGGCCAGTCAGTTTGTAAGTTACCTCTTGAACAGTAGCTGAACTACCCAGAGTGCATGATTGGAAAAGAGGAAACGGGGGAGGCTAGTCCTCCACAACCTCTCACAGGAGAGAAATATGGTTTTCTCCAGCTCCTACAGACAGGTTCCTGGGGCTATCTGGGGCTGGAGTCTCTAGGCAAGCTGATTTGAAATGCGTCCAAGCGGATATCATGCTTCAAAGAGTCAGGCCCCCCGGGGCAGAGGCCGAACCTGAGTACTGGAAGGGGACCAGGGAGCTAGAATTCAGGCACTGCCCTCCCATCCCCCAGGGCCGGGAGGGTTTGTTTAACCCCTCAGGGGTGCTGTGTGCCTTCCTTGTCAAGGTGGTTTGTGGCTTCGTGAAGCGATATTTATAGAGTGCTCTGTGATTCTTGGGTGAACATTCGTTTTATAAATGAATGATCAAATTTATTAGCAACGAGTAACTAACCCGTCTACATTTATTTTGTTGATAATACAAATTTACAAGGTTTTAATTGCCAGTTTTAAAACCCCCAAAACCCATACATAAATACACGGGTAATAAAATATCTTCTCACTGTGCCCTTGACTTCTGTAGTTACATGAAGGCTTATGGGAACGTCTGAAGGAGTTTTCAGATGGAATCACAAAACTTGTTTGAAAGGACTCGGGGCCGGAAACAGTCGAATTCAAACCTGGCTAGTGGTAATTTCATTTGTGTTAACCAAAATGCCACTACTGATTATAATTATTAATAATTTGCTTTATAATGCTTGTTCATGTTAATAATCTCCTTTCATTCTATTCTCTCATTTACTGCCCTATGACTTTGCTACTTGGAGTGTGGTCTCCAGATCAGCCACAAGGGTATGGCCTGGTAGCTTATTAGAATTGTGAGCTCTCAAGCCCCACCTCAGACCTACTGACCCTGAACCTGCAGTGTCATAAGATCCCCAGATTATTTCTGTGCACATTGTGGTTTGCGATTTACTTCATTATGAGGTGTTTTATCCTCTCCCATTTCACCGTCAAAGCAACTGAGCTCCAGAGAGGTTCAACACATCACCCACAGTCTCCCGCCAAGCTGAATTTGAATCTGGTCTCTTGTAGTCAGAGCTCTCAACCATAAGCCAGATGCTGCAGGTGTCCACGATGAGTCCAGAAGCATGGACTTGTGAGGACAGTGATGACAGTCTTGAGCCCCCAAGGTAGTGACTTCACTGGGCGCGGATCCATTGGTTATATACTCAGCTGTCTGTACCTACGTCCTTCAGGCCCAGAGTGGGGGAGACTCAACCTCTGCACAACGCACCTCAGAGAAGCCAAGGGACAGCCTGAGGTTGCGATCAAGTGTGGTCTCACGTAACATTTTCTTTCAAGGATAGAAACGTTTGTCTACTTACTGCTTAAGAAAAAAACAACCTATTTTGAAACAGTAATCTGCATCCCAGAAAATCAGGGAATGTCTGAGGTCAAAGTGAAGTGGTAAATCGAGTACACTCATTAATAGCAATGAGAGTTTACTATGTGTCAGTCACTGTTCTGAATGCCAACAATAGCGTAGGGGTACAAAGCTAAGTCCCTGACCGCAGAGAGGAAGAAAGTTAACACGGAAGATGATTTGAGCCATCTCTGTGTCTCTCCACCAGAATCTAAAGGAAGTCAAGTCAAATCTTTCTCTTCAACATTGATCTGATCAATGCAAATGTCAACTGGAACAGAACCCATGCAAATCACCCCAACTCCCTGAGTTCCCTGTTTCTCTCTGTTATGGCAGGCTTAACTTAATCTGTTCTCACCCTGAATGCACCAACTTTAGCCAAGATAGGAGGTCTCCCACTGCCTGACTGAGCACTTTTTATGTTAGTCAGGGTCTGTTTCTAAGTGTGAAGAGAAAGAAAGGCTATTGAGATCCACGGAGCCCGGCCGTTGAGATCCATGGAGCCCAGCTGTTGGGATACATGGAGCCCAGCCGTTGAGATCCATGGAGCCCGGCCGTTGGGATACATGGAGCCCAGCTGTTGGGATACATGGAGCCCAGCCGTTGGGATACATGGAGCCCGGCCGTTGAGATACATGGAGCCCGGCTATTGAGATCCATGGAGCCCGGCTATTGAGATCCATGGAGCCCGTCTATTGGGCATCTCTCCTCCCAGACGCTCTTCTAGCATTGTGCTCAGCAACTCCAAACTCAGAGGTTTGCCTACCTGTCAAGTGGGTGGGCAAATAATATTCTCTGTATTGCTGAAAAGGTGTGTGTGACTTTGGTGACTAAAAAATACGTGGATATTTTAAGAACTAAGGTGGCTTGTATTCGTATACAGACCTCTCCTTTTTCTGAACCCAATGGTGAAACTGTTTCAAAACCATCTTCTCCTTCTGTGCTTTGTTGAAATCATTCAGAGTGGCTTCTGAGACCAGGGTCTTCTAAATTTATGCCTTGCCATCTAGAACTTTACCCTAAGGACAAAGTTCCTCTGCAAGGGATGCTCTCCCTTGAACACCATTTTCTGAGTGGCATGGGGGCTGTGGGAAGAGAGACTGACTCTTCCAATGGAACCACAAACAATGGGATTTGCATGAGCCAAATCTCTTCCAAGGCTCTGAAAACTACCCCTAGAGGCTTTCTGAGACAAAGATCCTTCACAGTTGCCCTTTGTTTCTAATTTGGTTAGAAATTATTTTAGGATTATTGAATGACTAGGAATTTAAGGATATGGTTTCATCTTTCTGGGTGTTCTCTTATTGGATTCCTGCAGCTTAAACCAACCTAGGCCACCCAATAAATAAGACTTGGATGCCTGGGTCACTGATCGGCTCTGTCCTTTCATGGATTCAAAGTGTGACTATGCAGCCTGAGTCACTGGTCTCAGTTGCTGGATTAAAAAATGGGCAAATCCCATGGGATCCCTTCCCTCAAGATGTCTTAGACACCTTAGACAGTGGCAAATATAAAACTCAGACATTAAAAATGGGCAGTGTCTCATGGGCTAAACGTGGATATTTGGTCTACTACCCTTGTGTATAAGGGGTTCATTATGAATATTTGTGGATTTCCTGGAAAGGGAGTTTTAGGGCAGATGCCACAAAAGGTGTCTATGAATATCATTTAGACTTTCTCACCAGATGGAATAAAGGGGTATTTGTATTCTATCATCTTTTTTTTCCTCTAGTACTAAATGACAAGAAAAACATTGTCTCCAACCCAAATAGAGCTTATAATACCTTAGTTAAGAGAAATGATATAGAAACAAAACATAATATAATATTGCGAAATGTGGTAACTACTTGGAAATGACCAAGGTACTCTTTTCATGGATGTTTCCTTTTCTACTAAAAGTAACAACTTCCACATATATAAAACTTTTGATTAAGTCCAAGTCTTCAGAGAAAGAGTAAGGTCAGAGAAAAAGGGCATTGGGTTGATAAAGAAGAAAGTGGTTGAAGGAGTGTATTAATCCTTTCTCAGCTCTCATGCTGCTAATAAAGACATATCTAAGACTGGGTAATTTATAAAGGAAAGAGCTTTAATGGACTCACAGTTTCATATGGCTGGGGAGGCCTCACAATCATAGCAGAAAGGGAAGAAAGAACAAAGGCACATCTTATGCGTCAGCAGGCAAGAGGGCACGTGCAGGGGAGCTCTCCTTCACAAAACCATCAGATCTTGTGAAACTTACTATCACAAGAACAGCATAGGCAAACCGGCTCCCATGATTCAGTTACCTCCCATGAGGTCCCATTCACAACACATGGGGATTATGGGAGTCACAATTCAAGATGAGATTTGGGTGGGGAAACAGCCAAACCATATCAGGGAGTGACCCAGGGATCCCTCTCAGGGGATGTGGTACTTTGGTTGCCACTTGAAGAATGAGAACTTAGCCAATGGGGTGGGGGTTGTCACAGGCAGCAGACTTTCAAGCAGACAACAAAACATGTGTGACCCCCAGGTGGGTCAAAAGCTGGGTGCTTTCCAAGAACAGCATGAAGGTCAATGCCGCTGCAATTGTACTGCAGTAGTGGAGAGAAGAGTGAGCTGAGATAATGCTGGAAAGGACAGGAAGCACTAGATCAGGCAGGTTATGCAGTTCCACAGTGAGCCATTGACATGATCTGCCTTAATAATGCCCTCTGGCAGCTGTATAAAAACCAGACTTGGGGGGATGCCATGGAAGCTGGGGAGCATTTAAAAAACTGTTGAAATAGTTGAATCCAAAGATGGCCCAGGTTATAATGGTAGAGATGAAGAGAAGGAATTTAAATGTTATTTGGGGTATTAGAGCTCATAGGATTTGTTGATTGATTAGATGTTGGAGGATTAGTTAAGGATGCTTTCAGATTTTTAGTTTGAAGTCTTGGGTGGATATGTGGATCAGTTAACAAAGATGAGCTAAGACGGTAGGAGGGACTGGCTTGGGGGAGAGGCCAAGTGCTAGCAGAGAGACCTCATCCTGAAGACATGACTGTGCAGAGATGCAGGAAAGCTGCCCCGGCCAAGAGGTTACTGTTAATCTGTTTTGGCTCATCAGAAAAGAAAAAAGTGTCTTGAGTGATTATTGCTGCTTGCCCTGAGCACAAAGTTATGGTGAATTTGTTGGGTACTTGCCATCCATGCCCTATCAGATATAGGACAATGCCTGGATATTGGACATGGAACACTAGTAAATCACGTTTAAAGCCCTTCTCTTGCCAGGCACTATTCTAGACACTGTCAGGGCATGTGTAATGACCAGTTGACAAGAGTCAATTGCAATGTTTTCCTTCAGGTTTTAATGTAAGCATCATCAAGGAAGCTGAGAAGCATTTTGTTTCTTTTAGAGTAGTAAGTGTGCACTGTAAGTAATGGTACAGACGTCCATGGGTGGGAAGACTCAGGCTGACCCTGGAGTCTGGAGTTTTATACACATAACAACTCTCAGTAGAATGAGATGGCCATAAAAATTTGCAACTACAGGATAAATATTCTATCCACAAATCATTTTCATTATTTTAATACTTGACCAAAAGGAGTTTTGAATTTTATACTTTGAAGCTTTCAGCTGTGGACTGCTAAGGGTGATACTCTTGATGGGAACAGAACTTCAATTCCAGAGCTCATTTCAAATAGCACTGGGTCCAAGGCCAAGTACCTTGTGTCATTGGCCGGTCAAACCATACTGAGAATGCCCATTACAAACATATCTTTATTGCACTTTATCTCTTTAAAGCAGCAACATTTTTTGGCAGCTGGAGCTGCTTCTCTGGATCCAGTTAGTGGCTATAAAGGAGGCTCAGGTTTCTGGCAGTCAATCAGAACACAGGTGGAGCCGGCCCATGCACCCCAACAGTCTCTTGGCCTAGGCTAAATGGGAATTCAGTGGACCTCCTTGGAATTGGGGTGGGGGGACTCACATTTCCAGTGGAAAGAAAGTAAATTCAGAATCCAGGAAGGGGGAGGCAGCTTATAATAACAGTCTCTTACCTTCTGTATTGGGCTTTACATTTCACACTACATATATTATTGTATCACACAATAATATATAATTTCACAGAATATGTATGTTACTATTCTTTTTCCTCACCACCTGACCCCTCAAAAAAGTCCTGTGAGGTATATATTGTTATCCTTATTTTATAGATATGGAAACCAAGCTTTACAAAGAGAAGGTGCTTTGACCAAAGCCACAGACAGATAAGTGGAATTTACGTGGAGATCTGACTTCAAGTGTAACCTTCAAGGGCAAACTTCATGGAAAGTAAAAAGGAACTAAAATTTATTGTATTTTACTTTGTGCCAGGCACAGTACAGTACAATGCTGGGGAAGAAAGAATAATCAAATACTGTTTGCAACTTCATTTGCCATCTCTGTCACTACTCAAGAGAAGCCATGAAGTCTAAAATAGCGTAATGTCACAGGGATTGAATTGATACTAGAATTTACATGTGCCCTTGGTCATATTTAGTGAAAATGTGACAATGATTTAGAGCAGGGGTCAGCAAACTATGACCCATGGGCCAAGTCTGGCCTGCTGCTCATTTTTGTAAATCACAGCCTATTGGAGCACAGCCATGCCCATTTATTTACACATTGCCCATGGCTGCCTTTGTGCCAGGAGGACAGGGCTGGCTCATTGAGACGAGACTATAAGGCTTGTGAAGCCTAAAATATTTACTTATCTGGACCCTTACAGAAAAATGTGCTTACTCTTGATTTAGAAATGTTTTCTTGACTTGAATCATGAACTCATCCTTTTTAAAATAGGAATTATAGTGAAGGGTAGATTGCAAACTAACTAAGAATATAAATTTAGTACTTAAAGTGCTTGGATGAGATCTCTGTAATCCTCTCTGAATGTGAAGTTAGGATTTCTGGGACATGGCAGAAATGTTTGAGGACAATAAAAGGGAGAATTTATCCATGAAGTATCTGTTAATGTAGCCTGCCATGGTTGGAAAAATAGAGCAAAGTGGTGCATAGCTCAGGGCTGGTTAACTGTAGAGAAACAATCCCCATATCTTGGTGTCTTACCTTTCTTGCTTGTGTCACAGTCCAATGTGGAGTGAGCACTGTGCTCCATGCAGTCATTCAGGGGCCCAGGCACCTTCATGGTGTGGCCCTACCATCTCCCAGAGCCTCAGAGATCTCCGTTGGATTCTTTGCATCTAGCAGATGACAGGGGAGTGAGCATGGGGAACAGATCAGGACATTTTAGAGGCCATTCCTGGAAGTAACACACATCCTTTCTGCCAACACTCTATGAGGAATAACTAGTCACATGTCCTCACTTACATTAGAGGGGGCTGGGAAATGCAGTTTAGAAGTACGCCAAAGATGAAAGAAACATGAATATTGGTGAAGAATGAGCCAGATTCTGCCTCAATGGTCTGTGCATCTAACCAGGTAAAATGTCTTACGTTTACGTGCTGCTTGGCTAGGGAGTCTCCCCACTCCCTCTTGCCCTCCTTCCTGTCTCCTTTGCTCTCTTGCTTCCTCTCTTATTTCCCCCTCCCTCCCTCCTTTCCTCCCTCCCTCCTTTCCTTGCTCCTTCCTTTCCTCCCTCCCTTTCTTATCTGTTTATGATCAATCTGTAACCTGGTCCTTGGTCATAAAAACTACATAAACTGTTAAAAACTAATTAGTCCCTGTTCTGTGTTATCTATGTTTCCAATTGCACCCAAATTGATAGAGGAAAAAATTAGAAAAAAATAAATGCAAGAATCCTACCACTAACAGCAAGGTGATGAAAGGGGGAGCATGGGTACCATGCTCTGGAGCCGGATGGATGGGGAACATTTGGCTTATGTATGTATGAGTTTAAAGTGGTATTTAATTAAAAAGTTGCAAGCTCATGAAACAAAGGATTTTGTTTGGCTCTCCCTTGTACAATCCCAGTTTCTAAGAAACAATAACTTGTAATTTATGGGATCCCTTTTCACAGAAGTATGGAAGTTATATGTAGCTCTTATTTGAATGAGAAAAAATAAGTCCCTGATGGTAACTCATTATCTGTCTGACTAACAAAGGACAAAGTACAAATCCTGGAACATCTTGCTTTGCCATTTCATATTTATGACATATCCTGTTGGTAAAACATTATTCTCAAGGCAAGCTCTGGAGTTTATTATTTTTTGTCTTCTCATTCTTCATCATTGCATCATTTTTTAAAAAAATCCTGGGCCAGATGGAAGCTTTCCTCCTTTGGGGTCACGGTGGAAAAGAGGCTGTGTGGAACCATGGATGGCCTGCAACCACTTTTAAGAGGAAGATGGTCATGTCTCTTCACAATTCTCAGGCTCGACCTGGCCTTATTAAAGTTTATTCCCAGGAATGTTCTGGTTGGGGGATATAGATTGTTCTGGAGGTATTCTGGGCTCCTCTGAGAGTGACTTCTTGCTCTTTTCATGGGCACTTGACCCTCTGCAATTATTTTTAGTTACACTGGTTAGCATGTATGCTTCGTCTTCTCCCTCAATGGGCCTGCAAACTCAGTGAGTGGAGGAGACTCCTTTTTTGGCTTAATCATTTTTATCTCCCAAGTGCCTAAAGTAGGGCTTGGCACATCATGTGCACTCTAAATATTTTGGGAAAGGGAGAATGAATGAGTGAGTGAATGAGTGCATAGTGGTAGGGAATAGATGGCAGGCACCTCCTATCTGCTCATCCCAATGTCCAGAGGAGATGAGAAATGGACCCTGAGACTTTGTCTCCGCTTACCTGAGAGCAGTCCCTTCCCATTGATTGGGGTCCATGGATTTGTCATCATCAATCACTCTGGAAAGTTTTCACAAGAATGTAAGTGATAAAATGGTATTCCATTGAGTGAAACACTGATGAGAAGCATCGATAAGCTTCTCATTTGTCCCTGAAGGAGAAGGCGCAGTGATGGTCTGTTGGAGGCCTTAATTCATAGAATCCAGCTGTAGTCTAAGGGCACTGGACTTGGATATTGCTTCTTCTAGACTTCAGTTAGGAAATTTCCTTCTTAATAAGAACCCGGTTGATGAGATGCCAGAGAATGAACATCTCATTTCCCACCTGCCTGCCTCTAAGGATGTTAATCCTCCCTAGCACTGATGGGGCCCCTGGGAAGAACTCAGACATGGAATCAAAATCTGTTTTTGTTCCCATGAATGGGTGAGGCTCTGCCTGGCCTTCAGGTGTCCAGTCCCAGAGACAGTGAGATGTAAGTTACCAGCCACTGTCCCTTTTAGGAGGCCTCCTGATTTGTATCTCAGCATGGACATCTGCCCGTTGTAGGATCTTGAGCAGGATACTTGACCTGTGAGGCCAATTTACTCATTTGGGAAATGAGGTTGCTGATATCATGCCCCTTTTAGTGTTGCTAGGAGGATTAGAAAAAACAGTGCTCTTAAAGGGTTTAAACACACTGTGAGGCACATAGGAGGAGCTTTGCTCATGTCATTTACTGTTGCCAAATTTATTATTATTCCAGCTCCCTTTGGGAATCCTGAGGATGGTTGAATATTTTATAGAATTATAAAGAAGATTAGGTTATCACATCACATATTGAACTACATAGAGGATCTTCAATTCATAAAGTCCATGTCTTCTACTTCTCTTTAAATTTTTGTCCCACTTTGGAAAGGGCTTACTAAAAACTAAGCAATTAAAAAAATTCCTTTTCCTAGCAAGCTGCCACAGTCATGCCTGTGGTATAATAAAAAATAAATACATATTTGGTTTTGGTCCCACGTTTGTGGCACAGTTCCTAAAACCTTTGGAATCTCCGGAGTGATGAGTGTCTTTTCTATGCTAATAAGGTGACTGGTGTTTGGAGGCCCCAGGATAGCTTCAGTATGGAAACTAGTTGCCAGAAAGACCACACCACATGTTGTGATTAGAGGATAGGAAATTTCAGCCCCACCCTTCTACCTCTGGAAAAGGGAGACGGTCAGGAGATTGAGTCCATCACCAATGGCCAATGATTTAGTCTACCAGGTCAGTAATGAAATCTCCGTAAAAACCCCTTAAACGGTGGGGTTCAGATTGCTTCTGGGTTGGCAGGCACATCTGTTGTAGGACCTTCTCCTCTGGGTCCTTGTCACACGACCAGGAAAGATTAGGCTCGCAGACACTTTGAAGGGCGAGAAAAATGGAATTTATTGGGAGAAAAGAAAAAAAAAAAAAGCAGTGGGAGGAGGGCGAGGGGGACAGAAACTCTCAGCAAAGCAAGAGTCCTGGTGGCCAGTTTCCTGCCTCACAGATTGAGTTCCAGGTTCACCCAGGAACAGCAGAGGCCAGGCTCCTCCCCCAGGACACAGCTCCACCCCCGTGTACGCTCCTCCCCACGTGCCGGCCTTTTGGAGGTTCTCCGAGTGCCCCTGTATACTTGGCTGTCTCACACTGCGGGCTGGGAGGAGGCATGCCCTAAGACAGCATGCACGCTCTACACCCCCCATACCCTGCTTTGTGCTTCTCTTCCATTTGGCTGTTCCTGAGTTGCGTCCTTTACGATAAACAAGTAAAGGTGAGTCAATGAGTTCTGTACATCATTCCAGCACATTATCAAACCTATGGAGGGGGTCATGGGAACCCCTGACTTATAGCTGGTTAGTCAGAAGTATGGGTGTCCTGGGACTTGCAACGGATGTTTGAAGTGGAAGGTAGCCTTGTGGGACTGAGCCCTTAACCTGTGCGGTCCATGCTAACTGCAGGTAGTGTCCAAACTTAATTGAATTGTTAAATACTCAGTTAGTGTCTGCAAAGAATTGAGGAGTTGGTGTTGGGGGAAGAAAGCACCTCTCATTTGGTGTCAGTGGTGTGAGTAGAAACATCTCAACACTGAGTACACCCAATGGCATTGCCATAAATCTCAGTGATTAGAGAGTCATTGTGCTCTAAAGGGGACCACAGATTGAATGCATGTCACCTGAAGCTCCCACAGCCAAAGCACAGAGCAGACATCACTAATCAATCAGGTGCTCTTTTCTGCCAAGCCTGAGCTCAGTCATGCATTTGAGCGCATCGCTCAGAACTGGCTCCCTCAGTCGATGAGATCATGACACCCATTTCCTTCCTAATTTAAGGAGGTCAGGAGAAGCACAGCCTCTGGTTCTGTTTGAACCACTAACCAGCTGTATGGCATTTAACTTTGCTGTTTTATATTATAAAGCTTATATTTTATTAAAGCTCAAATAAACATTTCTCCATCCTCCTCACAAGCCTAGTGGGAGATTGGCAGGAGAGGAAAGTCAAAGTTTGATAACAACTTAACTCACATGGAAGTGCCCTTTAATTTCCAGAGAGAATTGGCTCAAAATTCCACTTCGGGACTGGTGGTACATCTGTTTCTCAGAGCCCCCAAGATTTCCATGACTTCCTGAGAGGTCTGTTCTCTTACTCACATTTGTCTCAAAACTCCTGCTTCTGGTTAATGTTGTCTCACAGACGCTGTCCTCTGTTGAATAAAATAACCTGGCTAAGGGGCCTTCCTAGCCCTCTTTCTAGATTTCTACCCCCCTTCAGCACACGCCTCCTCTACAGGGCCTTCGTGAATTAGTTAATTGGGCATATGGAAGTGGGTTTGCATAGTGGCCATCTCTGTTCTACAAATCCATTTAGTTATTTTTCCGTTTAGCACACCCCCTCTCCTTCTCTCCTCTCTTCTCCTCTTCTCCCTCCCCGCTCCCTTCTTTTTATCTTTTCTTCTTTACTTCCTCCTCTTTCTTTTAAAATCTCACTGTGCCATCTCTCAAAGTTCTCTGGCCGCTTCCCATATTCTTGTGCCTTTCTCTCCATCTCTTTCTTGGGTACAACAAAACTCAGATTCTTCCTGTCTGAAATTCAATCCTACTTTGGATTTGCTTTCTTTTTCCAGATACTGACCTGGGCCCTGCCTTTTCATACCCAGGTGGAACATTGTGGTGACTAAATAGTGACAGCTCCTTCTCTAAAAAGAACTTTGGTAATAGTCCTATTTATGCATACATGTGCTCACATGTGTCCACATGTTGTCTCCTGATACCCGTTCTTTCCTTCTGCCTCTTAATAAGAACCCTGATTTTTACCTGGCACATTACCACCTGGTTAACAAAATTGCTTCTGCTAGCCTACGTCATAACTTGATGCAGCCAAGTGACTAAATTGAGATTTAGACAGAATTGTGTGCCTGAAAAGGGAGAGAAAGTCCCCTTCTACTCCTTTCTTCATTTTGCTGTCTGGAATGCCAGTGAGATGGCTGGAACCCTAGCAGCCATCTTCTACCATGAAGACAAGGCCTACCCTAGTGATGATGGAACAGAGTGTCTGACAATTATGTCAAGCATTCTAGACTCTAAGTTCCCATTTCTTATCTTTCTAAAATGATTTTTGTTTAAGATTTTTTTCCCTCAGGCTACCTATTATAGCAGAACACGATTCATTATTTTTTAAGCTTCCGTTCTCATGCCTTTCTTTAATTTTACTTTAAGGAACTTATGACATGTACCCCCTTTTTGTTTCTAAGGTTGAATGGGGGAAGATGAGTTGAATGTGAGCTCTTGGCTCTCAAATAATAGAACAGAGGTTCTCCAATGTAGTGCTGAAACATGAGTGCTGAAGAGAATCTTCTGCCCTGAGCTACACCTTAGATCCAGGCCATAAAGGTTCAGATGGCCTTCAGAAGACAGTTAGCAGGCAGGGCATTCTAACATTAATGTCAACCTTATGAAAAACACAAATGGATGTGATGTTGAGGAAGGCAGTAAACCCCGTTATTTCTGTGATGGGCTTCCAGGGAAGTGAAGACAGTTTTGTGGTTCAAATGACAGACATCATCCAAAAGTTGAGAACTTCATATCAATTGAAA